AAGAGCGGGGATTTCCATATGGCTGAGCTTTGTTACAGAGTTGGGCATCTGGTCTTATCCCTAAGTTGACCTTACCAACACCATCTCATAGCTCCCCATCACGCTCTTTGCTCCTGAACACGGGAAAAGCAAGGCTGCTCATCGATGCACGCACAGGTTTTGATGCAGGGGTGGCTGTTCCTCAACGCCACATGAACATCACCACCACTGCATGGTTCAAGGAACAGCCAACCCAAAGACAATGTTTCTGGCTCTCCTAAAAAACAGAGGCAGGGAAGCGAGAATGGGGCTCCTGCCAGAGAGATGGTAACAGACAGCCCAAGTTTTCACGCTCAGTCTGGGGACACACAGGACGGATGTTTACAGCCTGTTCGTTGTTGTGAAAGCTTCTCCTGATGTGAGGACTTCCAGAAGAGGATAAACAAGAGTTTCTATTTCTCAGCAGCTAACGCAGAGCCCAGACAGAGCTGACCACAAAATAAAAGAGGGAAACACAAAAGCACAGCCTCCCGGGTCCCACGCTGAGCAGGAACAGCGCTCTTCCATCCTCTGCAAGCTCTTCAAGATCTGAAAGCCTGACTCAGGTCACCATCTGGTGTTTTCTCTGCCTATCCAAATTTATCACCTCTGCAGTACTCAACTGTTGCACCCCCCCCAAAAGCCACAAAGGGCTGTCAAACAAATAGCTGAGCACGACGGTGAGGAGAGCTGTCCAGGTGCACCGTCCAGGAAGAGGAGGGCTGGGATCCGCGTGCCAAGCCAACAGCCCCAGCATGGAGCTGGAGCTGCCACTGCTGTATTTCCTGACCTCATGGATTTTCTCCTGTAGCAAGAGGGCTTCTGGCTTGCATTCAAAGCTGTCTAGGAAAGCCTGGCCGAGTGCTTCCACCTGGCAGCAGCAGCTGCTCCCAGCCTGGTAGCCGAAGCCACACAGCTCCAGCAAACGAGAAACATCTGCCAGCCTTGTGCAGGAAGCCGGGAGCCTTGTGCAGCAAGTGCCCAGCCCCAGTGGGCACCAGCATCCTACCTCTGTCTTGCAGGGAGGGGATGAAGGTGTAGGTGAGGGCAGAAGGCAAATCTCCTTATCTTCTCCCCTGCTTGCGCATGATGGGCAGCACAAACACTTTGCCGGCAGAAGCAAGGACCAAGACTCTTGGCACAAGCTTACACCGGGCTAAGACCTAAAGCAGGTGTAGGCATCAAGGTTACAGGTGCTACCCAGAGACCCAGTGGTGTCCTACAAAGAACAACATGATGTTCTTCACGGTCCCTCTTCTCCAGCACAGAGCTTCATCTGCAGGGGGAGAGGTGCTTTTGAGGACCTGACTGTGAAACTTCCAGAAACTCACTCAGCAGAAGCAGAGGTGAGGAACTCAAGGGGCTTGGCCCCATCAGTACATCCCATCACACCACCACAGTTTCAAGAAAAGGTCCAGTGTCAAGCAAAAGGGATTTGCAGTGGGTTTCCAACACATTCACCATGAGGGAAGTTCTGACACCCTTCCAACAGGATCACTGAAGGAGCTTTCTGTGTCCTCCCTTTCCTCCCGTTGCCTTGTTTCTCCCCCAAGATTGACACCAAGCCAACTAAACAAGCCAAGAGACAGATTTTTACACAGCACTGCCGTCCTGA